GATACGCTTCAGGCCACTTGGTGAAGTAATCAACGACAACGAGTATGTATTTGTTGCCATCAGCAATTCATGGCAGAGGTCCCAAGATATCAAAGACGATACGTTCAAAAGGCGTGCCTACGTTTTAACGTTGCAGTTTACCTCGGATGCGTTTCTTCGGTCCTTTCCGACCTGCACAGGCATCGCAAGATCGGCACCACTTTTGCACGTCATCCTTTGCATTACTCCAGTAAAAGCGCTCACGAACTTCATTATTCCAAGGTCTTCATTATTCCAAAGTGACCTCCCGTAGGGCTGTTATGTAGTTCTTTAAGGACATCAGGAATGCTGGATCTTGGAAGTATCAGCTGCCATCGGAACGTCTTCCCATCATCCGATTCGAATTTCCGGTATAAGAGGCCGTTTCAAATGTGAAGTGAATCCCAGAATGCCCAGTATTGTTTTGTTGTAGGACTACAGATAGAAATGTCCTGCCAGGTAGGTTTTCTGTTTGATGATTCCATTAAATCAATTATGGGTTTAATGTCACGGTCTTCCAGCTGGTCTTTCCTGACTTCATCATCACTCCACGGTTCTCGATCAGCCGATGTTGATGTTGTAATTTGTCTTGCGACCGGAGTCAGCAGCTCGTATTTCGCTTCCACCCTGGAACAATATCGGTAGTTTTCTTGGCAAGGTCTTCTAGACAGGGCGTCGGCGTTTCCGTGTGATGATCCCTTACGATGACGGATAGTGATGTCATATTCTTGGAGTCTCTGTATCCACCTGGCTATTTGACCCTCAGGATTCTTGAAATTTAAAAGCCAGGTCAATGATGCATGATCGGTGCAGAGCAGGAATTTTCTGCCATATAGATAGTGATGGCACTGTTCTACAGCTTTGACTATGGCGAGCAACTCTTTCTTGGTGAAACAATAATTCCTCTCCGGTTTAGACAGGCACTTGCTCCAGTATGCCACTACACGTTCTTGGCCGTCTATTTCTTGGGACAAAACAGCATCGACACTTTCATTGCTCGCGTCGGTGTCGAGAATAAATGGTCGGCCGTGCTGAGGATACGTCAGGATTGGAGCCGATGTTAAAGCCTCCTTTAAGTTGTTAAATGCATCGTCGCATTCTTTTGTCCTCAAGAAGTTTTGGTTGCTCTCTGTCAGCTTGTGAAGGGGCCTTGCGATGGAAGAAAAGTCCTTCACAAATCTCCTATACTAGGTGCAAAGCCCTAGGAAGCTTCTCAGCTGATGGACATTTTCAGGACGTTTCCAGGATTTAACCGCTGATACCTTTTCAGGATCCGTGCGCACACCTTCTGCAGAGATGACATGTCCCAGGTAAGTCATTTCCTTTCGGAACAATTTGCATTTAGCAGGACTCAGCTTCAGATTGGCTTCTTTCCATTTCTGAAGCACCTTCCTAAGATTTTCTAAATGTTCTTCAAAACTCTTTCCGACGATGATGATGTCGTCGAGGTATATCAGGCAGGCTTCGTAGGAAAGGCATTTCAAAACAGTCTCCATAAAACGTTCGAATGCCGGCGCATTACACAGTCCAAACGGCATTACCTTGAATTGCCACAGCCCTTGTAGTAAATGCCGTCTTTTCTCGGTCTTCAGGCTGTATTTCTACCTGCCAATACCCACTCTTTAAATCAAGTGTTGAGAACCACTTGCTTCCAGAAAGAGTGTCTAGAATGTCGTCAATTCTAGGAAGAGGGTAACTGTCTTTCTTCATAACCTCATTCAACCGGCAATAGTCGACGCAAAATCTTGTTGAGCCGTCTTTCTTTCTGACCAGGACGATGGGAGATGCCCATGGACTTACTGAAGGCTCGATGACATCGCCTTCTTCCATATCTTTTAACAGTGTTCGCACCTCTTCCTGTTTAGCAAACGGTAGACGTCTTGGATGTTGCTTGATCGGGGGATGATCGCCGGTATCGATTCTATGTTGTGTCAAACTGGTTCGACCCACGTCAGAAGACGAGCGGGAGAAAACAACTTGAAGATCTTTAATGACGCGATCGGCAGCATTCTTCTCTTCATCGTGTAATTGCGCATTTTGAAGTAACTCTGATGTAATGTTTTCTGAAGATATGGATTCTTGGATGTTACTCTTTCTTTCAACGGTGTTTACTGGAGTACATGCTGCAACCACTTCACCTTTCTTAATAATTCTCACGTTCTCAGTTACATTGGCGACTCTCACCGGGATAATCGTTCTGGATAGGTCAACAAGTGTTGAGGCTACCAGTACTCCTTTTGGGCTATTACAGTTATTGGGATATTCTATGATGCCATAGCGGAAATTTCTGTTTTCGGCTATGGATCCAGGAAGTAAAATTTCTGTTCTTGCTGGTATTGTGATATTGTCTTGTGCTATGATTTTATGGACAGATTTAACTTCTTCATCATTAACTTCAAATAACGCTATGTCCTCAGATCTAAAATGCAATTCATTATTTTTAAAGTCCAAGAAAAATTTTTCCTTACAAAGTCCAAACCGAGTATGCAAGAATCAGTGATCTCTGCTACATATGCCGTGTGATAGTAAGCGGCACTTTCAAACGTGATGTTAACATTTACTTTTCTGTCGATGTCGATCTTCTCACCGGACACAGTCTGGAGGGTAACGCAGGTCAGCGTCCAGATAAGTTTGTTTCCCAGTTGTTGAGCCAAATCTTTTCGGATGATGGTAACGTTGGCTCCTGTATCTATCGTCATATTGCAGGGAACTCCATTAATATGTCATATTATGAAAAGTCCATTACTGCCGCCTCTCACTGCAGAAATCTGAAATGCTTTAAACTGGGGCTTTTCTTTATCTGGCAACCTCCGCCCCGCGAGATGGCCACTAATTAGTTTCCCTGCTGTTTGTTAGGAGCGGTCTTAACATCCGTACCGTGGGGTATTCTGTAGTTTCGTCGTATATGTCCTTCAGCACCGCAGTTCCAACATTTTAAGGTCGGTTTCTTTTCACTGATATTTCTTCTTAAGTCATTGAGTTGTCTGGTTATATCATCTAGACGAACAGTAACTTAATCCCTTGGTTCCTGGACATGAGCAGCTGTGATTGGGTGGTCTCTACGAGTGGCTTGCTGGGCTGCCTCAAATTTCATGGCGTACACTAAAGCACTTTTCAGATCTTTAACATCTGCCATTCGCAGTGCTTTCTGTATTTCAGGGTCCCGGATGCCATCGATGAAATATTGCAGGGACAGGATTTCCCTTATTTCTGTCGGGCACTCCGAAGAGGCGTGATGTGACAGCCTTTCAACATCCGTGACGAGCTCCTGAAGTGTTTCGGTGAGCTTCTGTTGACGGGATTTTAATTGGAGCCTGCCTGCTGTAGTCTTTTAAACATTTCTCGCCGAAGCGCAGCTCCAAGGCGGCGGACAGAGCTTCGAAATCTAGCCTTTGATTTTCGGGAAGCGTCTGCAGGATATCCACTGCGTCTGCTCTCAGAGAAGGGGCGAGATGACAGGCCTTAGCTTGAGAGTCGCATCCATTTGCATCCGTAACTATAGAAAACTGGGTCTTATACACTTGGCAGGATGACTTCCCATCATATGTGGATAGCTTCAGAGATGGACGAGCAGGCATCGGTAAGAATTTAAAATCATCACTCTTGCTGCCTGCCGTAGCGACGAATTTTTTTAAAGTTTCCATTTCTTTTGCAACTGCAGAAACTCTCTCTTCAATTTGTTGTTGGACGGCCGAAACTCTTCCTAATCGCGCTAGAATTTTCCAGTACTTTCTCGAAATCAAAAAGAGTTATTTATGTATTTAATGCACGCGCTCTTGTATTTTCAATTTTCCGGCTTAGCTTTCTTTTAATATTCGTCACGCGCTGCACTGCGCGAGAAATAAAACCATTTAATTTATAATTGAACTAACATTAGCTTTTTAAATACCAAATTCGTAACAGTATGTTATCCTCTTTCGCCAAGGCTTTCCAAACTATGTGATGGTGTCAGATTACATTAAGTTTGTGTACCAAATTTTTGGTGATTAGTTTGATTGTTCAGAATTTCAGGAAAACTGGCTCTGTAGAAAAAAGAATTTCAAAGTTTGAAGTAATAAATAAGTAACCAAGCTAAATCAAGTTGTAGAAAATCACTGTAAAGCAGTGAACAATACGGTATTATGTTGTATAACAAACAGATCTTTTTTTTTAATGCACTTCAGCATATTTATTAAAAAAGTAATTATGTGTTTTTTCATCTGAAAGTACTGATGAAAATTTCTTTTAATGTAAATAATACTATAAAAATGATAAAATTTAATGCTATTTTAAAACCTAATTACTGTTTCTATAGTAATTTTTTTATTTACTTTTTTAGTGAAATAAGATATACGCATTAAAATAGCAAAAGAATAAGATATGAATTTCTTCATCAATAATTTTTAATGTGAATTTCTTCAATAATTTTTAATATGAATTTTTATTTTTTTATCTTAAACTTGTACTGATTTTACCCCCCTTCCTAAGTACTGCTGCTTAATATGGCTACATCATTTGTACTGTCACGGTGCCAGCCCTGTGGCTAATGTATATATATATGAGTCTGTTGAGTTTATAAATTTATCCAACAGTTTTTTAAAATTTATTTTTAGTTCATCAAGTATTTATGTTTTTTAGTGTGTCTCCTGATATATGCCTTTCAATGGATTTTTTATATTGTAATAATTTAAAATAAGTCGAGCTATTTTAGTTGTATAAATTGAGAAAGGGGGAAGGATAGCAAACTGACATTTACTCTTTCCCACTCCTATTTATGCAACTAAAAGTAGGCTAGAATTTATATTTTTCAAAACTGTTTATATATAATTAAAATCTTTCCCCATCTCCACTAAATTATGATGTATGGCTTGTAATTTGTATTTTGCTTCTTTACAATTGTAATTGTAGTGTAATCAGATGGGATCACTTAGCTCCTTTCTATAATAGGTGTTGATATCTTTTTATTGTATATGTTTTAAATTATTTGTTAATATTTTTTGAAGCCGTCAACTTGCTGAAATGTCTCCATATTTTGAAGCTGTAAAAAAGAAAGATGTTGAAGTTATATTTTGCTATGAACCATATGATGAACTAGTTCTATTTCAACTAAGGCAGTTTGATTTCAAGAATATTACTTCTGTTGAAAAAGAAATGCGTAGGGAGAAAGAGGATGCTTCAGTTGAGGACTTAGGTATGTGCAAATTGTGTTGCTGAGTGGTATGTATTTCAGTTCAGTTTCATAGTGCAAAAATTCATACTTTTAATTTCAGTATATTTAAAAAAAAAAAAAAAAAAAAAAAAAAAGCATTTTCATTTTATAATTTTTGATTTTTTGTCTTATTTAACTAATATAGAGGAAGCTGATTTATCTAATTTAAATTGAATGTGCTTTTCTATCATGTATTACTCAAAATTAGTAGAAATTTCTAATTTTCTACTGTACGAAGTCTGAAATCTGGAATGATCTGAATATCTGGACCTTTTGAGTAAAAGCAACTTTTTTTAAAAAAATTTATTTTGTATGCTTTCTTCATGTACACCTGATATTTTTTCATGATAAAACATTTGGAGAGTCCCAGTCTTAATTTTTCTTCAGCACTAAATTGCCTCCACATTGAACAAATTATCATTTATTAGCATAAATCTATGTGATAATTTTTTTGGCTCTATAGCTACCTTTTTGCAGGGCACACATCTCAGGCTGAAACCTTATACATCAAAACATGAAATATTATACATAAGTATGGGTACAAGACAGCTTGAGAAATGGCTCACATAGTTATGTCTAAACATTTTTTTAATACTAGTAATTAAATATCAAAGATTATGGTAAACTTTTATGTTGACATTACACTTGGTGATGATTACTGACTTCAGCTTACTGCACTGCAAAGTGTTGAAATGTGTTGACAAGGAGAAATTTAACAAATTTCTTTCCATATGCAAAAAATGAATTTTGGAAATGATACTCATAAGGAAAAAGGTTACATTTAGTGCTTTTTGAAGTCAGAATAACTGTGTGTAAGCCTAGGTCTAGTGCAAGAGCTGGTGTGGCTGCACCAAGTGACAGAATTTAAGGGAGGCAAAATTTTTAGAATTTAGAGAAGCACCCGAGAAACAAAATTAAGTGATGGTTAATGAGTAACAAAAATTAAGTGATTTAGAATTTAGAGAAAACATTGAGATGCAAATTTAGAGTAGGCAAAATTGTTGGAATTTAGGGAGGTGCTTGACAGTTGAATTTAGGACTGACAGAGACTGCATTCGGCTGCAACATGTCTAGTGTCAGCCCTGGATAAGTCTAAAGGACCTTTCCCACTGGGCTTTATCTGAGCTAACAGAGCGAGTTCCATGTGTCGTCTAGCTCCGCTGTGCCTGCAGTTCAGATTTTTCAACTTGCTGTCCTATGGGGAAAAACTGGTTTTGGAGATGGGTCAGCTACGTCAGCTGTGTCCGTTAGCTCAGATAAACCCTAGTGGGAACGGCCCTTTAAGTATATGGAGAAATTTCTTTATTCAGGACTCAGATAAGCCTTAATCATATGCAAGAAATAGATGTAAATATAATAAATAACTAAACTAATGTAATTAAGGTTTAACTTCATCAGCATGATATAGAAGCAAGACAAAATTTAACAGAATAATACCATGCTACATCACCAGTAGTGTATAGTGGATGCTGACTATGCTTTATGATGATAGCTGTGAATTTGAAGATTTTCAGACACAAAAAGCAAAATTTTCCAATTAATGGAATTTGTGGAGAAGTAGTAAGTGGGAAGAAGTGATTTTCCATTGTGATGATAATGCCGCAATCATCAATCAATTAATGGATGGTGAATTCTATAGTATGGTTCTAAAATCAGAAAATATCACTACCAAATGTGAAGAAAGTGACAGAGGAGTTGCTGAAAATAAAAAAATGTTGATTGACAATTTAGTGGGAATTTCTCACATGGCAATTGCAAGACTTGAACAACTGAATTTTGTAACTGGACAAGAAATTATGACTATCTATCGAATTAAAGAGAAAATGTTAGCCCAAAAAACAAAGCAACTTAAACAATTATATTGGAAAAAATATTTAGTAAAGCAAGCAAATAAATATTGAACCTTCCCCCCCCCATAAATTTAGATCCTTTGAGGTCATAAATGCTTCATTACTTCCTAGATTTAAACTGATGGTCTAATACCCAGAAAAATCCCAAATCTGGAATTGCAAAAGTTCCAATGAATCCAGATTTTAGACTTCCTACTGTATAATAAAAATAGTTTAGATCAGCAATATTTTGAAAGGAATAATGTTGATTAACAAATTAATTTATTTAATTCCTAACTAAATAAAAGCTCTTATTTTCCCCCCTCCCTTTTTGTTTAATATTGAAGTTTGTATAGACTTTGTTAAGACTTTTGAAAATAAATGTAGAACATAATTTTCTCTCTCTCATTTTCACAATTAATTTTTCTTAAATAAAGGAGAAAATGCTCTGCCTAAAAGCACTGCTGAGGACTTAATCAAATGGTTGTCTAACACATTAGGCTCAAAAGTTCACAAAGTTAAAGTGAGTAAAATACTTGCAATCTATAATTTTACGTCTAGTGATGCATATACTTCTGAATTTTATTGCATATACATGTTTTTTAATAATTCAAATTAATTCCCTCATTCAAAGAAATAAAACCTATGGCAGAAATAATAATTAGAGTTGATTTATATCATTATTTTAAATAATGGAATTTTTGTATCATTTAATAACATTGTAGAATTATGAACGTTGTGCCTGCCACTACTGGGGGGCAATGTGCTTGGTGTGGCTTGATGAAATTTTCACTGGAGAAATTATGCATTTAGATATGCAGATGAGTAGAAAGTAGTAAAGCTCTAGTATAAGTGTATATTTTACAAAAGTCTTCTTATACATCAGTGTGGAATTAGACAGGATGATGGACTTCGTGAAATGTCCACAGTACCAGAATATTATTCATGATGAAATTTTCATCATATTCAGACTTGCATCATATCCAGTGGTACATTTTGAATGTGTTGCTGTTGTTACCACTATGTGACAGGCATGCTCATTGAGTGAAATGTGGTTGGCTGTGTTTTAATTTTTAACAATTGTTTATTTGTAGCAGTTTTTTTTTTAACTTCTCAACTTTGAAATAACTCTGCATTCTGGTAATGTTTATTTTTTGAAAAACTATCCCTTGCCTGACGTGCCACCTAAAATAATTATTTAAAAAAATGTGTAATGATTTTAATAAGTGCAGCTAATGTTATTTTATGAGTCTAACAAGTAATTAATAATAACAGAGAAGAACTAAATTGATTAGTTTATTAATCAGTAACAAACAGATTTAATTTGAAAGAAAGATTAAATATTTTATGTTTTGCTTAATAGTAACAAACGGGCACATGAAAAATAAAAATATTTTATTTCTGTTTGCCAAATGGCAACACATTTCTTTCAAATCACTGAGCTTTCTGATTAAATTTGAAACATTTCTTGCATTTTGTAGAGTGGCAACACATTGCTTTGTAAGTTGTGGAGTTTACTAATCAGAGTTCATTAAATTTATACGAAACAAAATAAATGAAAAATTCAAAATTCAAGCTTCGAGATACACATCTTCGTGTGGAGGACTACATGTTTTCAAAATTTAATGATTCTAGGTTCTACCTTTTTACTTCCTTGTACGAAGTAAAAAGGAAGTATTGTAATCGCGAAAAGTTTCAGGCAGCATATTTCAACGAAAATATCCATTTTGATCGCTATCGAATGCAATTTAACAATGTTTTCTCGTGTTATCTGTATGTAAGGACAAAATAAAAGACTCGTTTCCTCCAAAAAAAAAAAATATATATATATATATATATATATATATGTATAAAACTGCTTTAAAATTAATTCTGAAGAGAATTTTTCGTGGCGTCTGTACGAACGTATGTACGTACGTACATATCTCGCATAACTCAAAAATGAGTAGTCTGAGAACGTTGAAATTTTGTATATAGGACTGCTATAACATGTAGATGCGCACCTTGTATTTTGGTTGCAATCGGCTGCACCAAACGTATATAAATATACTTATATATATATCCACTCTGTTACCCAGCTCAGTGATCTCAGTTTCTTTACTCGTATATGCTTGTAAATTGTACATTTTTTGCTTTAAAAATGATTGAATTATGTTGTTTTTATCTTTCGGCTAAGGCTTTTATGCCTTTAGTAAATCTGTATGCAATATTTTTAGAATTATCAACAATTTTAAAGTTGTCTAAGTGCCGCTAAGCCTTTTTTTAATGGTGGCCATTGATGTTTACATTTGAAACAGGAGACTACTGGATTTGTTGCCAATCTAGAGAAACTTAGCTTCGCAGCAACAAAGATAACGCATTCATTTATTATTGCCAATTAAATCATGCTTAATTCTTTCTGGAATTTTTTCAAGGAAATTAAGTGTTTATAATTTACTTCGTAATTTTTAATATAGGTATTTTGAGTTTTTATGTATTTTTGCCTTCTCGCAAAGTGAGAACTGAATTAATTAAATGAGAAATACTCAATCATCTGTGAAAAACTGTTTTTTGTTTTGTTTTGTTTGCTTAGTTTCTTTTATACATCATTCTAGCTTTATTATAGTATTTGAATAGAACATGTGGCAACAATTAGATAATTATATTCTTTAAATGATACAAATTTTGTGCATTATGAGTTATAACATGAACGAAATATAATACTGTTAAGTGAATCTAGTGCCAGAGTGTTGCTATGGTAAACAAATACTAGAGTGAATTTTAAAGAATGCATTTGTTCTATTGTGGTTAATGCGCTGTCGGCGAAGTAGATTTAATTCAATCCAATAAGTTTAAATGAAATGCAAGAAAAAATACGTATAATTTAATATTCCGTACAAGGAAGTCATGTGATGTACACATCAGATTTTTTTATAGTGCGAGGAACATGTTTACATATATACACAACAGATTCTTCATTATTTAAAAATATAGAAGGGGATGTCAAATAAATAAAGTTATTAAATATAAAATTCTCTGAAACATAATGTTAGGCAGTTTCAAGATCCATTGAAATTTAATAGTTCTAATTAATCTGTTAGACTTATGAAACTATCAGATATGGTAGTGACCTATCTATCTATTGCTGCAAATATTGGAAAGTGTATCTTATATTATGATAGCATTGTACTCCTACCTATCATTATTTGATCTACTCAAAAAGAGGAATCATCCTGATGCATTATTGCAAAGCATCTTCGTGTAAATGCTTCACATAAATAGCTTTGGATACCATTAAAAATATCTCCTGGAAGTGAATGATAGTGCTAAGTGCTTTATGGGACAATAAATACTTAATGAGAAACTTTAAAATCAATTCCAGGTGCTTACTGTACATATATTGACTGCATGTGCTAAAGCCAACAGCTGATTTGCTGTCATATTTAAATCTAGTGAGAAAGTAGTTTACTTATGTTTGAAATATGGAGCACCTGTTATGCAGTTCATTGTTCTTTAGAATGAGTTGGCTCCTAGTTGATTATACTAAAGTTATATTCTCTGGAAAGTCCTTGAGTTTTCATGAGTACATTGCACTACTACTCCAAATGAAAAAATTCTACCTTACAGAAGTCAGCAGTCCAATCTATTTCAATGTCTGTCCAATTTGTTCACTGTTTTCAAAATATATGTATTGTTGTTACTTGGATTGTGCAAATCTGATAAAATTAAATACTTGCCAATTTTATATATGTAAAACTAAACTAAACCAAACTCAGTGGCACAACAGCCCTAGTAAGCCACGACTTGCAGTGCCCCGAAATCTGCTTTCTTGACCTTGGGCCCCGGAGTGCATTATCATATGCCCCCCGGTGTTTAGTCTCCAAGCGAACTTGGTACTCATTTTGTCGACCCATTCAAAGGATAAAAGGCTGAGTCAACCTTGCCCAGCCCGGAGATCGAACCCTGGACCTGTGTTGTAGTTGCACAATGTGCTAGCCACTTCACCACCAAGCCCTTTATGTATGTAAAAGATAAATTTTATATGATCTTGATTATTATTATAGTGTTTTAAAAGTGCTTCCAAATAATATGCTCTAAAAGTTTTTTTGGAGCGGGGGTACTTATGAATTATTGCATCGATTCTGTAACTATTGCCAAAAAGCACAATTTAGCATCAATTATGGACAAGTGTAACGTAACAAAACACTTAGAATGGTTGCGCTTTTTTTGATGTAACTGCAGTTGATTCTCAATAAGCCAGCTTTTGTTTTATGAACAATGATATAAATTCTTATTGCTGTATTTTTTCTTGCATTTGGGGGAAAGGAAAAAAATTACAATTTGGGACCTGGCTTCTACAGAATAATAAGCAGTAGATTAGTTTCAAAGTTTTGGAATCAAAAAAGGCCACTGAATATGGCCTACAAAACAATACTAGATTGGTACAAGTACCAGAAGAAGAAGAAGTTTGTACTCATAATATTCTAAACAAAGCTTCCGATGAAATCAGAGGACCTAACAAAGTAGTAGAAATGTACAAAAACCCTTTTTACAAAGCACAGAAATGAAGTGGTTTGCATACTGATTTTTTATAAATGAAAAGGGCATCAAATCCTTCAAAATTTTGCAGAAATGATTGGTGCAGTTTTGGCTTTATTTGCACCTAATTTTTGGGTTTTTTACCTACTTTTTCACATACTTTTTGTAATAAATTTGATCAGTATTTTGCTTCATACTAGAAATACCATAAGCTATTCACAGAATTAATTCACATCTGTAATGTTTTGCACACATTTCCTATGTTGTGACTAAATTGTGAAAGAACACAATTTTTCAGCTTAAACACTTTGAATGAAAATTATTATATATTTGTGGTATGAATATTTTGGCAGGCTCTCTGTAAAATGGCTTCATGTAAATGCTTCTGCCCGGTATTAACTCCTAAAGACACATTAACATTTTTGAAACATTTAGTGCATGCAGAAGGTAAATATTTGCTGCAAATTAAATATTGTAAAAGTCATACAATGACTTGGTTACAGACTGAAGGAGAAAATTATTGCAGCTATTAAAAGAACCTATTTTGATATTTAAATTTAAAAGTAAGTAGTAATGTTCTATGGAGTAGTATATTTGTATTGACTTTGCATTTTCTTTTTTTTACAAATTATACTGGATTATTTTGGAGTGTCTTTATTATCCAGAAATACATTATTTGAGCATAAACATGTGTAGAGTATTTTGAAAATGTTGCAATGCTTATTATACTTCATACTGAAAAATAGTAAGTATTGGGTAAAAGTGCTTCCTCACCAATGAAGCTGCTTAATCAGATAAGAGTGTAGTCCTGAAATGCTTTTCATTTCTTTGTCTGGTAATAATCTCAAAAAGATGATTGACTGCTAGAGACACTGGATAAGCTATTTATTTGTTTACTGTGAATGCTTTTTACCACAGCACATATGCTTACAAATTAAAATAATGAAGGGGCAAACATAAAATTTGTTTATCATTGAAAGAGGTTCCTTGTAAAATTCCAAGTTCTCAATTGCCTTTGTTCACTGTATAATAATTTTTTCTTTGATTTTTAAATATTAAAATTTAGATAAGTTTTAAAAATTATTTTTATTTTTCTAGGTAACTAAAAGGTTATCTACCCATCCTTGTCTAATTTCTGTGGAAGAAATGTCTGCTGCACGTCATTATGTTCGTACATCTTTACAAAGTATGTCTGAAGAGCAGAGATATAAAATTCTTGAGCCCACATTAGAACTGAATTTGAGGTAAGTGCTTAAAAATTCAGCATCTTTTCTTTTGCATTGAGGAATCAGCAGATGCCCATGCAGTCAAACATCAACTCAACACCTGACTGTCTGGGCTTAGTATTAATCCCCATACAATACACATAATTCATTTTTTTCCCTTAAATTGTTAAATAAGTTACCAGTCTTTTTTTTTTTTTTTTTCTTTCATTGTTTGACTTGTTAGTGTCAGCATTTTCAGTACAGGGTTTTTGTCTAGCTTAGATTTTATTATAGTTATAATCATCCCGCTGCTGATTAGCTATGTGGCTACAAAACATTTAGATAAAGTAAATTTGTGATTCAAAAAGAAATAAAAGCTGTACTATTTGATGAAACAGATAATTAAGATTATATTGAATCTGGTGAAAACGATAAAAATTTTAACTTTTATTTGTGTGTTGTATTAGAAAATATTTGACAAATGATGTAAATAATGAGGATGTGAAATTAAAATTATGCATTTCTTTTAAAATTTTCCTAATGCATAGATTTTTAAGAAGGCAGTTCTGTAAAAATTTAAGTTAGTACAAGTTTTAATTATCTTTTAACATAGGAGTTAAATCTACTTTCCCATTAAAATAACTTGCAAATATCTTATTCAAATTTAAATAAATGAATAAGTATGCACTTTTTTCAAATAGATCAGATGATATTAAAACAGTGATGTAAATTGCATGATGCATTTTTTTTTTATAATAATGAACATAATTTTTATCTTATAGTACTGAATTTTGAATCTAGTTGTTTTTTAGTGATTAAAAAATTGCATCTATTAGCATACGTTTTAAGGAAAAACATCTATAATTTTCATATGTAATTTTGTATTAATATTGCAATCAAACCATCATTTATGAACTTATTGAACAATACAATGCCAAAATGGGTGGAGTGGATTTATATGACAATTCATATATGCTTGTGATATTCTGATATTCTTGTGGATTTAGCAGAGGAAAAAGATTTTTATATCTCAGCCTTATCTTATCGAACAATACAATGCCAAAATGGGTGGAGTGGATTTATGTGACAATTCATATATGCTTATGATATTCTGATATCTTGTGGATTTATGTGACAATTCATATATGCTTCTGAAATATCTGTACTTTTAATTATATAATTTCCCAAGTGCTCATTACGTGGACCACTTAATTCCTGTTTGACAACTTGCATTCATTATCTGACAGAAAGTCCATAGCTATTAACCCCTTCGCGCCGACTGTCACGTCTACGTGCCAGCAACGAACACACTCACTTCCCGGCCGACACACAGGCGTGCCAGAGCATTTTCCCGTTCAGCCCCGACTGTCACGTATTTGTGCCAGTGTCCTGAAACGTTTTAAAAACTATAATTTCTGCCACAAAATGGCACTGTATGTCTCCATATGGTTTAAGATACATGTACACTGCTCAAAAAAAAAAAAAAAAAAAAAAAAAAAATGGGACAGTGCTATATCTCCCGTTCTACTGGGCCGATTGACAAAATTCAAACTGCGTTTTTCATGTCTCGAAAGCGCGACTTAGGATATATATTAGATTTATATATAGCACTATTCTAACATAGGTATTTAGACACAAAATCGGACTTTTTCTGAAATAACATACCAATTTTTTTACATATTTCGATTCTACGACTCAAATTATGCCAGAATACCAAGTTTTGTAAAAATCGTACGAATAGTTTTTAAAATATTAGCTCTCAAAATTTTAGCTCCTCAATGTTAATTGAATTTGGCAAATATTTATTAATATCTCTTTTTTTATTAAACTTTTTTGATTTTTTCTCTCACATTTCGAAATTTTGGTTCATTCCAAATAAAATTTACCCATTTTTTGCATTTTTATTTTTTAAATTTCTATTTTTAAATAATTTCTATAGATTTTTCGAAAAAAATTTTGAATTATAACCTATAAAATTTTTACCATCATCTTAAAGTAGGTGTATTTTTAAGCATATCTGCAAAAAATTAGACTTTTTTATTCAAAATTTTCTAAGATATACACGAATTTACATAATTTCGCGTTTTTGAAATTTGGCACCTTTTTTTTGAGCGATAATAACGCCAAATGTGGTCTATGGATTTTTGTTACACTGAATTGCCACAGCTATTTTTAACCTTAAACTTCAAGTAAAATTTTACGAAGAATTAATTATATGACATTTTTTCCCTCAATGATGCGTAATAAATATTTATTAATACTATATGAAAAGGCTATTTTTTTTAAATTATAGATGATATTATTCAAATTTTTAACTATTTTTTTAAAATTTCTCTATCGTTCCTTTTTTTAAAAAAAATTAAAAAGTAAGTTTTTGTAAGAGTAAATTTTTACCTTCGGCGTTTTATCGTCTGCTACTTTACTTCGTTTAAATCGAATTGTCTAAAACTGAGAATTTTCGTTTGATATTTATTTGAATTTTATGACTACATAATTTATTTCTAAACAAACTGTTGCTTTTGAAGTGGCTGAAAGAGCGGGTGATACTATTATCCATATTTTTAAAGCACAATATATTTTTATAGAAACATAATATTTAGAATAATCATTTTTTATAAAAGTCAAATTATGATATAAACATACAACCCTCTAGAGACTGAATTAATGGAAGTTCAATGGTTATGTAGAAATGATCTGCAGCTACTTAATGGCTGGATAAGTCAGCAGATTCTATGGACAAATAAGAATAATTATATAAACGACACCAACGTTCTGGATTCAATAAACAACGAGGATACGATGTTTACTAAATGAATTTAAGAAGTTTTAAAACATAAAAAATCAACTCATTTTTTTTCCTAAAATGTATTTTTGTGCGTAGCGTATTTTCATCATATCCTTAAAATTCTAATTTAGAATGTAATTGTCAAGAACTGAATCCTAATCATCAGTAATATAATAAGTAATTATTACGGTTATTAATAAATCCTTCTTATAAAGCAATTGCAAATATTTCAAAAAAAAAACTTTCTGTCTGAATGCAAACATTTTTCTATGCAAATATTTTTAATTTTATATTAATCAAGATTGCACACCATATTACTTATTTCCACTTCAATTCTTACCGTCAGTTCTGGAGGACTTTCTAAGGAAAACTGGCTCGTATACACAAGTACACATGGGGAAAACCACGAAACCGCACATGCGGCCAGCCCGTTCGCGGGATTCGAACCTCGGACTGAACTACCAGTGTTCAGCGTCTTTACTGCTTGGCCGTTGGTGGGCTATTTAATTAAAAAATAACCATCTAAGGTAAGAAACAGCGTACCGTAACAACATTTCAATTATTGGTGCCGTATCTTTCATGTTACTCCCGATTGGTTAGCTACATGATTTTTAATGAGTATTCGGATTTTACTAGTAACTTCACTTGGAAATCGCGCTTAAACTAGGTTAGTTGGTTATTTGAACATAGAAAGAACATGGGAGCTATTTGATTAAGATGCTTTCATAGAGAATCTTTGTAAAGAGAACCTAAAAAACTACGAAAACCAACCATGCAGCCTGGGTTAGACTGAGCAGCAAACAATTAGTATTTAACAATCTTTTTTTTTTTTTTTTTTCAAATGCTAGGCAACTGATGAGGCTCCAATTAAATCTCCAATTTAAATTTATTTGTAAATATTTAAAATATTGTGTATTCTTAGACACAAAAAGCAGAATTTAAGTTTTGTTAACTCGTTAGTAAACTACCAAGCCGTAGTGCAAATGAATATTCAATTTCTTTGGCAATAATTGTATTCACTTAATATTCTTGGATATGAACTAAAGAAGGAACGTTCTCGGAAGATTAAAGAAGTGTTTAAATCCAGTGATATTAGGTTTGTCTTACAAGCTCAGGATCAAAACGATTCTGCAATTGCCCGAGTAGTTGACTTGTAAATGGATGTGAATTAAGCAGATGACTTTTAATCTTACGTTATTCAGCCAGAAAACGTATTCCAAATGTTTTGTATTGCATGACAATGCATCTTTTCATTATTCAATAACCAGTCGGAGAACCGCTTGTGTTCCGAAAATAAGTATGTGTACTTCAATCGTCCTGCATGTTCTTCAAATTTGTCTTCTTGTGATTTTTTTTTTTTTCCCAAAAACTAAAGTTGCCTCTCAAAGGAAAGTTTTTTGACATTGAAGAGACAAAAAATTAATATGACATCTACTTTTAGAGGCATGTCAAAAACAGATCTCTACAAACCTTCTCTTCCATTACATGTTGTGCAGTCAGACAAAAAGTTACATCAGCGTAAATTCTATAATCTATTTTTATTACACTCTGATTACTTTATTAACATACAGTGAATATATACTAAATCTTTTACTTTAGCTTAAGTAATTCGGAATTCTTGACGGAATTGTTGTCGGAACTAGGACTTAGAAGATAAGTCAAATTAAATATTTCGATAACCCAATAAATTAAAGTTCGAAATTTCAATATTTTATTTTCGGAGGGAGGGGAAATGTTTTCAGTTTTGGTCCATTATACTAAGTATATTTGCTTCGATTTTTTATTTTTCCATAAAAGCGAAAATTTTACGCATGGTATACATATAATGCATAGCTTCAAATTAAAATTTAATAATATACAGAGTGGTTATAATTAAAGTTTCACATTGAAACGGTCATAAAAGGAAAACTATTGGATCAAATGTTGTCAAACTTGGAAATCGTGTAAAGGAGGTCATGGGAATTTATTTCCCGCGAAAAAAAGGAAGTTCGAAACCTCACCACCAGGGGGGGAAATGGCGCTGTATGCAATATTGTTAAACGAAATATGGGTTGGAATCTAACTTAACCTTTTGTTAAACGGGTTTAATATGTTGTATACCCTTAAGAAACTTTGAAGTAGGCAAATTACCATTTAAAGACGTTAAATTTGATAAATGTCGAGTGCACCATCCCTGTAAGTGAGAATTTCGTCCGTGAAAACCACGAATTAGCGATTAGAAAATGTGAGATCGCAAATCACTCTCACAAGTGCG